GATTAACACACTGTGGAAGAGAAAAGTCAGTCTCCGAGAGGTTCAGAAACAGCCCACAAGGAGGGGCGGAGGCCAGCCCCCCGCCCCAGGAGTAGGAGGTGCTGTGGCTGCTGTGGCTGCATTTCCTCAGTCACCTGCAGAGACAGCATGCAGTGGCACGTTGGCTCCACTGGGTGACTATTCTTAGATCTGGGGAGCTGGGGATGATGGATTTAGAACTTACGAGGTGGAAACGTGTTGGCCTGTTTTATAAACAACTGAAATCCTCCCCATAGACTGTCTTTCTGAATTCCGTGTTCTCTGTTAGATCTGCTGGCTTTCTGGGCTTCTTGGCTGCACTGGGAGAGGGAACAGAAAAGGGAACTAACCCTCCTGAGGGCCGACTATGACCACGTATTGTGCTAACGGCTTTTGCATGACCCATGTCATTTAAGAGAGCAGCCCTGGGAAGAAGGTATTGTGATCACGCTCTAGAGATGAAGAGACAGAGGCTGAGAGAGGTCCAGAAGCAAGCACACCCCGTGACGTGCTGCAAGGGATAAGCCATGACTGAGCAGGCCTGATGTGGAGTCTGGGGCTGCAGCAGGGTCTGGCCCTGTTGGACAGGCAGTATGGGCATAGTACGGCTCCTATCCTCTAAGAGTTCTTCACTCCAGGTGGTATATTGTCCCTCTGTATGACCTGGTGGCCTGTCCTCATGGCCAGTCAGGGGCCCCTCTTCTTGGTAGGTTCCAAGTTGTCATCATCCCTCTAGAAATGTGGTCCCCAGAGCTGCCTGAGGGCTCTAGAGACAACGAGCCCATCCAGATGCACACCTTGTCCCAGAGGCTGCCTCTATCAGTTTATCCCGAGGTCATATTAGCTGCGCTAGAGTCCAAGTCTGCCTACTCTTGCTGAACCCACAGCTCATGCACATCCTCAACTGTTTCTGCATTGCTATACCAGGTCCCCCCTGGCCTGGCCTATGTGCTGGTGTTTTGGACCTGGCCAGAACTTTCAAGTTGTCTCCATCCAATATCATCTTATTAAATGAACACAGTAAGGTGCAGGGCGCCAGCAGAGGGGCCAGGACCTGCAGCCCGCGGCCATTCCCGGAGCCTGGTCACAATAGAGCCTCTCTACATCGTGTTCCCCAGGCCTGTTTGGGACTCACCAGTGTGTAGGAGAGGAGGCTGGAAGTTAGAGCAGTCGTGGGGGTCGGGGTAAGGTCTGTTCTGGAACCCAGCAGTAGGTCTAGAAGAATCCACATGCAGATTAGAAGATGTGGTACTGAGTTCACTGAGAAGCCACTGGATGACACCCCCTTGAGGAGGAATTCTCCCTAGGGTTTCCAATCACTTAATAAACACCTACTGAGTGTCCTCTCTGTGTTCAGTGCTGTGCCTAATTCAGTTCAGCCCATTCGGTGCACAGCATGTAGGCTCCCTCAACGCATAAGTGCTGGGTTAGGAACAGGGGCACCCATCCCACCGTGACAGTGCAGGGAGATGAGTGCCTGGGGAAAGGCACACCCCAAAAGGCAGTGGCCAGTTCCCCAGAAGGATCAAACCCCCTTGGGAATAGAGTCTGTCTCTTATTTATCTTTTTTTTTTCAGATAGCACACTTTCATTGAACTTCAAGCCAGTAAAAAAAAAATAGGAAAAATAGGATAAAACTGGGATTAATACTTTTAATTTACATTACTGCATTTTTTTCCTTTAAAAAACGTTATTTTGGGGCTGGCTCTGTGGCCGAGTGGTTAAGTACTCGCGCTCCGCTGCGGTGGCCCAGGGTTCGGATCCTGGGCGTGGACATGGCACCACTCATCAGGCCACAGTGAGGCGGTGTCCCACATCCCACAACTAGAAGGACCTGCAACTAAGATATACAACTATGTACGGGGGGTTTGGGAAGATAAAGCAGAAAAAAAAAAAAAAAAGATTGGCAACAGTTGTTAGCTCAGGTGCCAAAAAAGAACAACATTATTTTTTAAAGCAGTTTCAGGTTCACAGAAAAATTAAGCAGAAGGTCCCCTGCTCTGACATATCACAGCCTCCCCACTATCAACATCCCACACCTGAGTGGGACATTTGTTAAAACCGATGAACCTGTATTGACACATTATGGCCCAAAGTCCATGGTTTACATTAGGGGTCCCCCTCGGTGTGGTACATTCTATGGGTTTGGACAAATGTTTAATGACGCGTATCCTCCATTATATTTCATAGATAATAGTTTTTTGCCCAAAAAGTCCTCTGTGCTCTGCCTATTTACTTATGGTTCTATCTACCAGAGTTGAATGAATAAGTGCGTGGATGAATAGTTATAAACTGCCCGTGAGCTTTAAGCACAGCTCTAGTGGGAGGGGTATAGAGTGAACAAGACACAGGCTCCTGTCCTCCAGGGGCTTACATTCTAACGGGGGAACAACAAGCAAGTAGACACACAGGTCATCGTGATGCGGCCAGTGATAACAGCTATAAAGAAAACAGACTAAGTGACGTTGTTAGAAGGATGGGTGGTCAAGAAGTCCTCTCCAACAAGGCCTCCGTGCTGTGACCTGAATGATGGGGAGCTGGCCACAAAAACACCTGGAGGAAGAGCTTTCCGGGCAGAGGAAACGATGAATACAAAGGCCCCACGTGGGAAGGAGTCTGCCAGTTCCAGGAACAGCAAGGATGCCCACAGTGTCTGGGGCCAGCTGAACGGGAGGCGGTACGGGGGGAGGCAGTCCTTGGGGGGCCTGGTGAGGCCGTAGGAGTTACTCTGAGTGTGCTGAGAAGCCACTGGAGGGTTTGAAGCAGGGAATGATAAGATCTGACTTACATTTGAAAAGGCTGCTCTCTGATGGGCAAGGCAAGGGAGATGATTCAGGAGGCTTCTGCATTGCAGAGAAGTGGGCAGGGCAGGGCAGGGCAGGACAGTGGCTCCGAGTGCGCCGAGTGGGCCGAGTGGGCCGGAGCAGTGGGGACAGAGAGAAACAGAAGGATTTACAATCTATTTTGGAAGTAGGGTGTGTAGGACCTGCTGATGGGTGGTGCACAGGCAGTGAGTGAAGGGAGGGATCAGGACAGATTCCTTGCACGACGGGTGGAGAGAAGTGCTATTTATTAAGCTGAGGAAGCCTCAGGGGAGGGATAGGCTGGGGAGAAAGTCAAGAGTTGTGTTTTGGACATTTTAAGATGGAAGTGCCCATTAGACATGAAGGAATGAATATATTCCCAAATAGAGACCTCTGGTGAGCCTAAGAGGTTATGAACCTGAGTGGAAACTGGGAACCGTGGGAATGACAAACAGCAGGAGCTACCAGGTGAGCAGTGGGCGGCTCAAGTGGTAATGGGCACTTAGGATTCCATGGGGCCTAACTTGATGCCTTTATCACTCTGAATTCCAGCTTGTTTTTGTTTTCCTTGAATGAAGTACATGACTGGGATGTATGCATACTACATGGGCTAATAAATATAAATCTCCTTTATGAATGGCCCTAGTTCATGAAAAATGCATACTGTTTGAAAGCAAAGTTACCATCTTGGGTAACTAGAACCCCCCAGTCTAAGTTCTCCCGCGGGCCTGTGGAAGCCACATCCTCCCCTTGGCCTGGTGAGCGCAGGGCTGCTGGGCTGGGGACACAGGCTCAGGGCTCTCCTGGGGCAGGTGTCAGTGGGAGAAGAGGCGTTCCCAGAGGATGCAGCGTGGGCACGGGAAATGCTGCAGCCCTGCTGCCAGACTTCGAATCCCCAGGAGTGTGAGGCCACCCAGAAATGAGGGCCTGTGGGGTAGGCAGCTCCGAGAGGCCCTTTAGCCCTGGCCCTGAGACGAACTCACAACTGCAGCAAGGGAGGCCTGGCGAGACCCCTCTGGCTCCCTGCCTGTGTGACTGCTCGTGTGCCCAGCTCAGACTACTCAGTCTCCTGGGGACAGTAGCTCGGACTACTCCCAAGTGACAGATTCCCCTCCCAGACGAAGGAGCTGGAGGTTCTAAAGACTGAAGCCAGGGACATGTGTGCCAGAGTGCAAATCCTCCGACGGCACCCTAACTCAGAAGGAATTCCCAAGTCCAGACCTGGGCTGTCAGCTTCCACACCATCTGGTCCCCAGCCACCTCTCTGACGCCCACTGCTGCTCTCCCCCTCACTCACTCCTCTCCAGCCACACCGGCCTCCTTGCTGTTCCTCTAGAGGGCCAGCCATGCTTCTGGCTTTGGCTTTCGTACTGGCCGTTCCTTCTGCCTGGAACACTCCTCTCCAGATATCCACATGGCTCCTGCCCTCCGTTTCTTTTGGGTCTTAGTTCAAATGTCACCTTCTCAGAGTGCCTTCCCCGACCACTCAACCCCATCCCTCTATCCCTCACACTGCTTTATTTTCCTTCCTAGCATGTAACACTCCACCATATATGTATTTGTCTGTCTCTCCACTAGAATGAACAACTCCATGAGAGGAAAAATTTCACCTTGTTCAACTGCCGTATCCGCAGCACTTAGCACAGTTATGGGTACATAAAAGGTACTCAATCAGCATTTGTTTTAGGAATGAATAGGTGTCACCTGTCCCAGGAGGCACTCATTCCCTTGAGGGGGAGCCAAGTCAGAGAGCCGGGGAAGCTGTCCACAGGGGTCCCAGTCCAAAGGAACTGCCGTGGGTGTGTGTGATGGGGGCAGTCGCGGCAGCCCTGCTGAAGGTATCTGCAGCCTCAGTTGTGGGGAAAGGAGAGCTTACAGCTAAAGACTGGATAGACTCCACCTCCAGCTCCAGGACCAAGCCTGGCCTGGCCGAGTCTGTCCCAGCTCTTTGAACGAGCACTCACCCCACTGCCTGTAGGCCGACCCTCCCCTTCCCGAGACAGGAGGAGCCAGCTGGGCAGCATAGCTCAAGTCCTCACTCAGGTGGCCAGAGAATTTGGAAACAATCGTTGCTGCTCAGTGCTATAGAGCCAGACAAGCTTGGATCTCATGTTGCCTCTGTCACCTACTGTGTATGTCTGAGCTTTGGTTTCTTCATCTGTAAAAAAGGACAATCACTTTTCCTTTCCTTTTATTTTTGAATGAATACATAAAGTGCCCTGCACAGAGTCCATCACATGAAACACACTCAGTTGATACTTGTTCCCTCCCCCATCTCTCCATTTGCCGCTGCGAGGGCCCCATGTCTCCTGCCCAGGATCCACTCCTAGCTCTCCTTGGTCTGGTCTATCTTGCTGCCAGCTATTAGTAAATTTGGAACAATCTCTAGTACAGGGGCACATGAAAAAAACATGCCATGCCTCTTCCTTCCTCCCATCCCCCAAGACCTTTTGCGTGGAACAAGTGGGTAACACTTCACACAAGTTCTAGATGAGGGTTTAGATTAGTGTTTGTCTGAGGTATCCCGACAGGCACAAACCACTAAGCATTGCTATGGAAACCGTTCTGCTATTCTCTGCTGTGTCATTTGTTTTCTGGCTCAGCTGCAGTTGTGGTACAGAGGGAAGGGACGAGGTACCCAAGGATTAGACTCCTAGTGGGGCCTATGCTCCTTCCCATGGAGCTGTATGACTGAGGGTAACTCCCTGCTTCTCCCTGGGTCTTACCTTCCCCAAGTCCAAGAATCAGGCCCCTGATTCTCAAACTGTGGCCTGATGACCATCTGCACTTGTTAACAATCAGAATTCTGGCGCCCACCGCAGACCAACCATTGGGATGTCCCGTGGAGGTTCTGATGCACATGAGAGTTTGAGACCCACTGATCTAGGAATCAAACTAGCTAAATTGTTTCCACTCTCCCAGTGCATGAAACAGGCCACACCTGAAGCTCCTCTGATTGGAGTAGGGGTGAGGGGCTGAGAGCCTCATCCACTCAGCTGCCCACTACCCCCAACTGGCTCCATGGAATAAAAGGGCTTGCCAGAGCATGCTCTGAAAACCGCTGCACCAGATGATGTCCAGTGCCTTCCCAAGAAAGGGAGTCAGGTATTCATTCATTCACTCACAGACATTTATTAGGTACTCTCTGCTTTCTTTATGCCAAGTATTCATTTGAAGTCAGTAGCTCTACTACTTACTAGATGTGTAATCTTGAGCAAGTTACTTAATCTCTCTGGGACTCAAATTTCCCATTTGCAGAATGGGAAAATAAGTCTTGTTTTTTCTACCTTACAGGATTCTTGTAATGAACAAATAATCAATGAGAACGCCTATGAAGAAGTGGTTTGTTACCTGGAAGGGACTCTACAAATGCCAACAACTATTATTACTACTCTTATCAGTAGCAGATCTAACCATCTGAAGTTTGTGGAACTAAATTAAGTCCTGAAGGCCTCTATGAAGTTACTCTCTTCTCTTTGTAGCTAAACTTCCAGAAGGTGTACAGGGTTTGGGGAACCACTGGTCTAAAAGCCTCCATCTAAAAGATAGCAACCTGCCTACAGGGGTATTTCTGTCGTTTAGGAATGGTACCCAGTATGTTATCTTCTAAACAGAACATTTCTCTATTATCCAAATTTTTTTCATGATCACATATTACTTTCATAATAAAAAATGTTTAAAAAAATACCACTGTTGTAAATATTGTCTAATATACAAAGTTCTTTCAAACAGTCATTTCTTTATCTGATGCTTTAAAATGCATTCAGACGAGGCACCTGGAGCAAGGGCCTATGCCAGGCTTTGCTGGGCCCTAGAGGAGGAACCGGGCGGCTCTGCCACTAACTCAGCATGTGGTCCTGGGTGAGTCACTGCCTCTCCCAAGGCCTCTGTCTCTGCACACATAAACTGAAGGCTCCAGCTTTACTGATCTCCAAGGGCCTTCCGGCTCTGATGGTTAACGTTTCAGGACAATGGAGAGCACTTTCCACCATACCCAGGCATTCCATACCAGTCATTCCATAGCACATCTGCACCTATTGGGGCTGCAGCCTTGTTGAGCTCAAGGCGGCTCCCGGAGACGCTGTTTGCTGAAAACAACATTCCTCTCCCCAGTCATTCACCTGGAGTTTCAGACCTTCCAAAGCACCTTGAGCCCCACTACAAATCCAAGCAGGAAGATCAGGAAACGAGCATCTCTAGAAGAGAGGTGGCTTGCTCAAGAGCTGTGCCCTTGTAAGTGATGGGGACATGATCCAAATCAAGGCATTTTGACTCCAAGCCCAGAGCTCCTTACCTCACTGGAATCACATCCTATGAAAAACTACAGACCCAAAGAGCCTTCATTTGGTGGAAAGACCACTAGAGTTGGAGTCAGAAGATGGGGCCATGCCCCTGCTCCAGCTCTTCCTGCTGTGCACTTTTGGACCAGCGACACCTTAGCACTGAGTCTCAGTGTCTTCATCCCCGGTGTGGGGATATTACTCCGGACAATTTCAGTGCTACAGTGAGGCTCATGTGAGAGTGAAGGGAAACTTTTTGTATACTACAAAGCTATATATTAGTTCCATTTATATTGTATATTGTGCCTGAAGGTTGGGAGGAATCTACTCCATCTGTCCTTCAAGAAACCCACAGCCCTAGGAAGTATAAGTCCTGGGCCACAGGGCAGCGGGGTATGGGACCTGAATGGGCAAGTCACTTTACTGTGTGGGCTGAGCTACACAAGACAGACTCTTGGCCTGGCCTGGATCCAGCCTATGGAGACCAAAAGGCACCAAAGCTGAAAACACTTGACAGGAGTGCAGAGCCCATCGATGCGGGCAGTTCTTTATTCTGAGCATTCATGCATTCATCCCATTAACAAACATCCTTTTAATATCAACTCCAGATAAAGTAGTATTTGGGTGTCTCATGTGTGCAAGGAAGCAGAAGGAGGAATGAGCAAACATGAATAAGATAGTTCCCATTTTTAAGGAATTCCCAATCTCAATAACCCCGTTTCCTGAGCTCTTAACTACACACCAGGAATGCTGCTGTACTACTTCCATATCTCATTTCACAGCCACGATATCCCAACAGGGTAGGAATGTTCAGGATCCTTCTCTTACCCCTGAAGAAGCTGAGGCTCACACTCACCTGACAGCTAAACAGTGGAGCCAGGACTCTAACCAAAGTCAGTCTGTCTCCAGATCCTAAATTCTTAACCCCTATGTTCCATGGCCTCCCTATCGCTGGTGATCTTAGGCAAGTATCTTCCTCTCTGGGTCTCAGTTCCCTTATAAATGTAGAGGTTTAGCAATTCTAGTGGGTACAAGAGATCCTGAAACACACGTGAACCAAAACGGAAAGCAAGAAATGCCCACCTGGAGCGAGGTGTGAGGTGTGGAGATCAGGTCCCAGAGCCCAGGAGGGGAAGAGACAGGACATAATCCAGGTGGAATGAGGCCAAGGTCAGGCTTTTGCCACACATGGCTCAAACCAGCACGTTTCAGACAGGCATGGCTAACACCTGCCCATCTCCACCTATGTCTCTTCTCCCACCAAACCCCATTGTCCATCCATCTGCCTCCCCAGCTGAGCCTTTGTTCATACTGTCTCCCCTATTTTTCCCCATCTCCCCTCACTTTCTTCCTCCAGGAGGTCTCTTCTGATCCTGCAGCTCTCCCCAACAGACTATGACAGACAGAACAGCTTTAACAGCTACCTAAAAACCATTTCATCGAGAAGCCCCTACATTAATGGAACAGCATTTTCCTTTAAGATCCTGGTCTTTGGTGCATGGCTCCCTGTCTTCACAATTTTCTCTGTCTCTAATGGAGAAAGAGCAGTGGCCCTTCTCCACCTGAATCTTTCACAGCAGCAGATGCCAGTAAGGTTGCCTGGAGAGTCTGGAAATGCCATGTTGCCATGGTAACGGCAGACCAAAGTTCGAGATGCTCTGTCTCCAGTGAGCTGCTCTGGCAGTGCCATGCCAGGGTGCTGGCGGAATCTTCCTTGATGAACCAAAAAAAATCCATTAATGGACAAGAAACTGCTCCACTGGTGCTGAGGTTTAGCTCCTGCAAACACACTTGTGGGCCTCTCACCCAGCCCCTTGGCTGAGAAGGAGGCCTGGTCCTGGCTCTCTGCACTGTGGCTCACTCAGGGGGTAATGTGGTTTTTAACTGGCTCAGCCAGGAAAGCAGGCCCTCCCCCACTCCAGCCCCCAAATTACCACTTCTCTTGTTCGATGCTGCCAACCAGGGATCTGCCGCCGTGGACCTTGGCAATTAGCACAGCACCCGCATTTGTTTGGGAATTAAGAGCCACTGATTAGCCTAATTCCACGCCATTTACAAGCAGTCAGTGTCAGCCTGAGATTGGCTTTTCCAAATGGTGGCCCAGAGGGTGGCATGATCATGGCTTGAGTTTGAAATGGAGGCAAGGGTCTGGTGAGCCAGACTGAACCAGGAGGGGAGGCAGGACTCACCTCTGGGCCTGGCTACCTATCAGCTTTTACCTCCCCTGGTCCCGCCTACCCAAGGGAACTGAAGACAAGAAGGTGTTTCCAAACTGAGGTCATGCCTATTTCCAAGTCATCCTGACCAGAGAGGGAGCTCAGTCCCCTCTGACAACCTCGTGGCTGATGCCCACTGGACACGCCCAGCCATATGACTAGTGAGCCCTAAACTAGGGACTCCTGTGGCTAGACGCCTGAGTCAAACTCCAGGTGGCTGGGCAGGACCCTGACACTCTGCCTAGACTCTCCTGCCATTCTACCACCTAAGGGCCTGAGACTTTTATCTGTCCCCCAAATTGCTGTCTGGCTGGAGCCCCTTGGAATTTGAAGGTCCCATGATAACTACCTGAAGACCTCTTATCCTCCTGCTGGAGGACCCAAGAAGGACCTTCCAGAATATTGATAGTCACAGGATCACACAGATCCCTATAACTTGGGTGGTTGATCCCTATCCTGACCAACAGGAGCCAACTCCTTAGTTAATATGGTTACCCTGGGTTTCTATCTTCTCCTGCCATTTTGCTTGTGTGTAGCATCCAGGGGTCACGACCAGGTGGAGCTGGCTGATTGAACATGTGCCCATGGACACTGAGGAACTTCCAGATCCTGTCAAGGAAATTCATACTTAGTGAGGCCTGGCTGGATAGGCCTTGACGACTGAGCTTCCCTAATTCAAACTCTAGCTTGCTTGAAAAGAGGGGGCTGAACCAGGTCTTTCCAGTCACTCATAAAACATTTATTGAGCTTTCCTTGGTAGATGCTATCAGGGATACAGAATGAATCATTCATGGCACCTGCATCAAGGAATATATAACCTAGGTGGTCAGCAGAGATTTCCCAGTGGAAAAAGAACAGTTAAGGGAGCCGGAGGAAGGGCATTCCAAGTAGGGGGAATGGTGGGGACAAAGGCCATGCAGGGGAGGTGGATGGGGCTTGTAGAGCTAATGGTGGGAGTTCAGTTTGGTGGAAGAAGAGGAAGTGCAAAAAGTAGTAGAAGGAAATAAACTCGAGATGCTAGGTAGGGGGCGTATCATTGCAGATGGCTCAGGAAATATAATCCTCAAAATGACTAAAGATTTTGGACTTTATTCAGCAGCCAATTGGAAGCCACTAAGGCTTTTGGGCAAGGGAGCAGCAGAATCAGAGCTGTGCTTCAGAAGCAAATCTGGATAATAACAGTTATCATCACTGTTGGTGTCATCACGACAGGTAACACTCAGGGAGCACTTAGACTCTGCCGGGCACTTTCTAAACACTTCAGACTGAACGTGGAGGAGGGACCACAGGAAGATGTTTGGAGGCAGAGGCCAAGTCCGGGAGAAGGAGGATGAGTGGAGCCTGCGCTGTCTCAGTGGCAGTGGGATGCAGAAAAGAGATGGCTGGAGAGAAAGCAAGGAGGCAGGACCAAGACGACTGGGCATCTGCAAAGCTGTGGGTACAGAGGGCAGAGAGGAGTCAGCCTCAGCCAGAGGACTGGAGGATGAAGGTTGCATTTAGGTCTAGGATGCGTGACTCTTTGATTCACAGGCCTGGGAGATGAATCTAGAAGCCAATCCCAAGGACACAGTCAAAATATCCCTCTTGTCACTCTGAGTTCAGGAAAACATTTGGGGAGGAATAGTCCATGATAGAAGGGCAGCTATCCCAGGAAAACTTACTCTTTCACACTCGGCCCTGATCCTACTCACCAGGGACCCGCTGGCTGGGATGAGAAGGCAAGGGCCTGGAGAGGGTGGCCTCTCCCACTTTTGACCCTTGAGCCTTCAGACTGGGACTCCCAGATAGAAGGGGGCCCTGGTTTTACCCTGCCTTGTTTGCTTCCCTGCCTAGCAGGCACCACTGATACCCCAAGCCCTGGACAAGTGCCCACAGATGGAAGGCAACAGTTGCCTCCTCAGAGATTGCTCCCCCTCCTCATGACCACACGAATCCTCTGCCCTGGTCAGGAGGGCTCCCACCTGCTCCACCCTCACCTGTGCTCTATGGTCTGCCTGTGCTCATGCACCCTCCTCCCCTAGTCAGGAAGGCCATCATCCATTTCTCCTGGGCCAGTCCAAATTCCAGTCTAGCCTTCAAGGCTCAGCTCAAGTCCTCCTTTCTCTAGGAAGTCTACAATCATCACTCCTTCACTGAGCTACAGCACTCAGAATGGAGGTTTCAGAGCAGGAAGGGGACTCTGCGATCACTGGGGCAACTCTCTCAATTCTACGTAAGGCAACACTGGGGCTTAGAGAAGGGAAGAACCTGCACAAGACAGAAGGGCCGTGGCTAGAATCCAAGTTTGCAGATTCCCAGGACAAGCCTCCCATGAGCTGCACAGCTCTGCTTTGTCTCGCTGTCCCTGTCATAGACTGTGAGACTGGCTGTGAGGAGAATGACCTCTCTCTCTGTATCCTCCTCAGTGCCTGGCACAGAGCCCTGGATTGCAGGTAGCTCAGGAAACAGAATCCTCGGTAGCTAAAGGCTCGGGAAGGCCACAGGCCCTGAGGAAAAGCAAGACACAGGTGAAGAACGAACTCCTCCTTCCAGCAATTCTCCACTGTTCTGGGATGCAAGCCAAGTCCAGCCACTGGATTCAGGGTGGGAACAGAACGATGGAGTCAAAGGACTTTTGCATCCAAAAGAGATTTCTGCCACCAAGAGATGCCAGTGTGCTAGTCCAGAGCTTTCTGGGAGAGCAGCTTCGAGAGGCCAGCAGAGGGGTCATCCTGAGGTCAGCCTCCAGCCTAGGGGCATTTGTGATGGTGGGACCAGAAGCTGAGGGAAGATTCTTCTTTTAAAAGTTGCATCTTCAGATTTTTAGAGTGAAAAGAATTCTTCAAGACCACTCAATCCAATTCCAAAATTATTCAAATAGGGAGACTGAGGTCATGGTAAGCAAAGAGACTTGATCAGGTCATGCAATACCGTCGGGTTATAGCCAGGACACAGCTCTGGGTCTCTTGATCCCAGCCCGGGGCTCCCTGCAGGGTAACTTCTCAACTGGGTCCCACATGGGTGTAGCAGGACAGCACCTGGTGGGGTTAAATGGCCACCAGTAGTTTCTATGTTGTTTTTTAAAACGTCAAAACTCAATTACTGACAGATTTGTGATTCAGGTTTAAAGAAAAGTATTGGGTTTGACTAAGGCTCCAGGTGAAGAAGCCATTTGCTTGAGATCATGCAACTAGGAAAAGGTAGAGCCAAACTCAAGCATAGATTTACCTGGTTCTCCACTGGCCCATGCTGCCTCCAGGCTCAGAACAGAGGAAGGAAGATAGGACAGACGGACATCCTGACAAGTCTGAGAAAGGACTCCATTAAACAGACACTTCCTGGGCGGGCCCCCTTTTGCTCCAGGTCCAGTGCTGGGCGCTGGAGACACAGAGTGGAAATGCGATCCAGGAATGCAGAAGTAACTTCCAGGGAGATTCTAAATGAGCAGTTATAAAGGCTGGAGGAGAAACAAACTCCATGCTTTGAATTCTGAAGTAAGAATGCAGTTGAGGAACGGTAGAAGAAGGGCATGGTGTGCTAGAACGTACTGGCAGGGTCCTGCCTAAAGATTTGTGTGCCCCAGCCGCAGTTATCTTTGTACTTGCAGAGCACAACGCTTGGCACAGAGAGGCACATCGAGAGAGCTGCCGAGTGAATGCACAGAGAAACGGACTCCCATCCTAAGGGAAGCGAGATGCAGCTCCAGGCCTTGCAGAAAAAGGGTCTGCCCAGCAAGTGGGGTCCTGCACCCCCTCCATCTGTAGAAGGGGCAGGAGGCAGCTGGTGAGTCCAGAAATGCTGACACAGAGAAGGACAGAGCTTCCAGCCCCAACTGACTTCTCCATGGCAACGAGCTGACAGAAAACTGCACAGGAGACTGGGAAGCTAGTTTTAAAATAAAGACACAAACCGCTCTCAGTCTGAAATAACGCATGCAAAGCAACAGCTCCCGCCTCTCAGCCCTTCAGAAGGGTCGGCACAATCACTAGAAGAGGTACCTCCTTCAAACCTGCCCACCTCCCTGCCGAGGCCCGCGTGCCTCCCCTCTCCTCGTCACCCTTCCGGGAGCGGCCCGGCAGAGTCTCTCTGGCTGTGCAGTATGTGCTTCAGGGCACTGCATCAAATCTGACAAGCAGGACAGAGGCTCCACTGGGGTTGGCGCTGGCCAGGTCTCACAGCAAACAGGCTGTGGCAGCTGGCTTCGTGTCACCCCAGAGCAGCAGTGACTGCTGCAGGGGTCCGAAAAGGAAGAGCAGGCAGAGACCTCTTTCCTTCTCCTGATGGTCCCTGCTTCCTCCTTCAGGGCTCAGCTGTATTTGCCTTCATCTCCCCAGGATGACTCAATCGCACACACCTTCCACTGTAAATCTAAAGCCCTCTGTTTACAATTCAAATATGAAACTTTTCATTATACTTCTGCTTGCAGAAGTAGACAGACAGTCTACTTTGCATTATACTTCTGCTTACTTATCCTGCCCCCCAGTAGAGAACCTGGTCTGTGATAAAGCCTCAATAAATGTTTTCTGAATGAATCAATAGCATGAGAAAACATTTTAATTTGATAGCTAGACAGAAACCTCCTTCAGTTTGTGGGAGTCCACTCAGACTATCACTGCCCTCAACGCCTTGGGTGCCCTGGGAGCATGAAGGCAGTGTTGCCCCATCCGAAGCTGCTGTCCTTCCCACTGGCTTCCTGCCAACTCCACTGTGTGTGCTCCCTCACCGTCTCACAGATGTCACCGCATTCAAAACAGCACCCGAAACGAGCTGGACTAAGGATCCCGGGTTCAATTCCAGCATTACCTCCTCCCGTCTCTGTGAATTTGAGCAACTCATTGAATCTGTTTGAACCTTGTCTGCAAAATAGGAACAATCCATTTCCACACCTTATCCTGCCTACCTCATGCGGCTGGTGTGAGGAACAGAGATGCTGAATCAGGAAGATGCTCTGAATGCTATAAGGTGGTACCGTGCAAAGATAAGGTGGTGCATGGTTCCCAGGATCTTATGAAAGAGGTAGCTGAGGCCTAAACTCATGAAGTGACTTGCCCATGATCACACGGGGAGGTAGTGGGAAAGCAGGGTCCAGGCTTCCTAATTCCTGGTCCAGAGCTCTCTTCCGAACCTTATGCTCCCATCTAGCATTCTTCAACTTTGGCAAAGCAATTCCACATTCCATTAAAAGGAGAAGCATTCTGATCACCTGTGGAGTATAAATCTCTGAAATAGAAGTGAGTCCAGCTCTCTGCTTCCAGGCAGAATGCCACCTGAAACATTCTCCGCAGGGCATTAACTCTTACTCCCCCACCAAGACTTTGCTTCTAGCCTCTCAGTTACTGCTAACTAACCTGTGCCAGAAAGGTCATCCTGGTGGGTAAAACAGTCTTGCTGTGGCAGAGCCCAGGTCTTCTGACCTAAGCTCAGAAACAAAAATAATAAATGCAATACTGCAAATATTAGAGCAGCAGATCAGGAACACACTGGACAGGATACACAGGAAGACTGGTGTGGCTTGGAGTGCAGACTTCAATGGAAAACCACTAAGACTACTCCAGGGTTTGACTCAGGAAGGAGGGACGCTGATTCCCTGGTATGTAAGTCAACAGAAACAGATCTCAGAGAGACAGCAGGGGCACACAGGCCCCACTGCTCAGATTCTAACAGCTCCTAGGCCCACATGCCAGAGATGTCACTGAGTGAAGTCTCTTCACTGAAGATGTCAACAATGACTTTGAAACAGAGGGAAGGAGAGGGAGAGGGAAGGAAATGTGTTTGTCGAGAACCCTAACCCTTTCACGGTGTGATGGTTCATTTTGTGTCACCTTGGCTAGCCTATGGTCACTGCTTGTTTGGTCAAACACTAGTCTAGATGTTGCTGTAAAGGTATTTTTTTTTAGATGTGATTAACATTTACAATCAATTGTGGTGGGCCTCATCCAATCAGCTGAAGGCCTTAAGAGCAAAGACCGAGGTTTCCTGAAGAAGAAGGAATCCTGCCTCAAGGCTGCAACATGGAAACCCTGCCTGAGTTTCCTGTCTTTGGATTCAGGACTGCAACATCAACTTTTACCCAAATCTCCAGCCTGCTGGCTTGCCCTAGGGATTACAGACTTGCCAGCCCCCATAACCATACGAGACATTTTTTAAATGAAATCTCTCTAGATAGAGAATGAGAGACAGAGACACTAGTGGCTCTGTTCTTTGGAGAACCCCACCTAATACATGTAGGGTTGAGTGTTTTAATCTAACTTATCTCACTCAATCCTCCAAATGACCCTGAGAGGTAGGTTTTGCTATTCAGATGTTTGTTTACAGAGAGGAAACCAAGGCTCGGAGAGTCAGTCACTTGGCAAGGCAGACTCCAAAGCTCACGCTTTGTCAGTTTCACAGGGCACAAGGAAGTAGAATTTCTAAGAACGCTGGGACTAATTCCCTGCCAAAGCAAACAGTGTTGCCGATCCTTCTGAGTTCTCCTTCTCCATAGGGATGCTGCCAATGCCAACAGGAACTAGGGGTACGAACTGGTTTGCTCATTCAAGAGGACGATCTGTTTTTGCAGAACTCCGTCTTTAGATCTCTGTTCTTCCCTGGGATCTGGATCTGGACGTAGCATTTGGGTCTGCATAAATACTTCAGGGTCTCATCACTTTTAAACAGAAGCTCTGAGTGTCAGAGGAAGACAAGGTTTGGTTAGTCCCCGAATGGCCTTCCTCCAGAAGCAAATCCAGGCTGAGACTGTTTCCATTTGGCTTCTGCCTGGAAGTGGGAAGACCGTACTCTCTGCTCAAACCATGAGCCCTGAAGGGGCTGCTCTCTCTGGGGGGTGCCTGGGCAAGCAGACGTCACTGCCTCTGCAGGCTACCCTCCCCCACCCCGCCCCAAGGTCTCTCACCACCGCCATGTCTGCTGGGGCGGGGGGAGCATTCTTCCCCTGAACACCTCAGCCCAAGGATGGATGCATCCTCTTTCCGGGTTCCCATTAGCCTAGCTGAGACGGGGTGGGATTTGCGGGATGGAGTTTACTGAATGCTAGGGGCACTGAAGAGGAAACGTCCCAGCAATCCCAACACATCTCCAGGTGGCAGGGCTGCCACGATGGGGGTGCTGGCCCCAACGACTTCCCTCTCTCCAAAGGGCTTGGACACACCTCTGCAGCAGCCCTTGCTCAGCTCCTGTTATTTCAACTTCCAGCAGTTTCCCTGTGGTCGCTATCTTGCTTATTGCCTCAAAAGCAAGGCCTCCAGGAGCATCCTTCCCACCACGATAACACTCATATGAAAGATGATAATGTTTGCAAACTGGGTGAATGTGCAGTCGAAGGCTGGCTCCTGCTAGCACAGGCCAGGCCAGCCACCCCTAGTGCTGGGGGGTCACTGTCTGGATCCCCGGTTGGGAAATATGTCCTACAGAGCCTTGTCCCACTCAGGACCCAAGTCAAGAGTCCTGGAATCAACTCTGCCTCTTGCCTCAGCCAATCTCTCCATTTCTGGGCTCTGGTCTGGGGGTCATGCTTCCTCCTCAGGTAAGAATGAGGTGACGGGCCAATGACATCTCCTTTCAGAGGAAATTTCACCCCTCAGTAGGGAAGCAGCCTTACCCGTTATAGACCAAAGAGTCTTTCAAGGACCAGCAAAAGTACTACTTCCCCCAGGAAGCCTGTCGGGACAGACGCACTGTCTCCTGTGTCTACTGAGAGACCAGGGGGTCCTCCTCTCCTCTGTTGCTGGTGTTATTGTGCCAAAAAAAAAAAGAGTCACCTGGATGTTTACATAGTGCTCCAGGGAGAGGCAAACGCTAGTGACCACAACACTGAGAACTACCATTTACTGAGAGCATTCAATGTCCCAAGCGGGGCTCTAGGCACTTCACGTGTTTCAACTCATTAATAAACCTTCACCACAACTCCTAGAGTTAGGGCCTTTCATTATACTCATTTTACAGACAAGAAAACCAACGCACAGACAGATTAAATTTCTTGCCCAATATTACACAGCTAGTAAGTGGCAGAGCTGGGGTTCAAACACACGGAGCCTGGCTCCATAGCATTTAACCCAAACAATGACTCTGCCAGGTTAGTTTTATTAATGCTGTTTTACAGTTGAGGAAACTGAGGGTTGAGCCCTCAACTAGGATCTCACAGCTAACAAGAAGCAAATCAAGTATTCAGCCCAAGCTGCAGCCTTTCTCAAACTCTCCCTGCTAGGGAGTGTGTTGCAGCCACTCCAGGCTGAATTCACGGGGGCCAGCTGACATCATCTGTCCTCAGGGTGAAAGGCCACAGAACCAGGAATGGATGTCACTGGCATCAGGAAGGCTCTTCCAGCAGGTGACTTTGAATAAGCAAGGATTCCAAGGCACTTTACTTATGATAATTATATATATAATCCCCTCTCTCCCCTAGACAGACAGAAGGCCTAGGAGAGCTGGCCTCAGGTGACCATGGGCACCCTGTTCTGTTAGAGTGGATGGACACTATGTGGCTAGGGCTTTCTGGTGTCCACTCTGCCCAGGTGCTGTTTCAAAGTGACCTCACACGTGAACCTACTTGCATCCAGGACTGAGTGAGACACAGGAAGCAGTGAGTCTAGGGGAAGGGCCACGGCCTAGATGGACTCTGAGCTACTATCCCACTTCCTGTGGGATTGAGGCAAGTGTCTCAATCCCCAAGAGTTTCAATTTCTCTACCTGTAAATCAAAAAGCAAACAAACAAATTCTTCCTTCCAGGGTGGTTATGAGAAAAAAAAGAAGTATGAAATTTTATAGCAGAGAAAGCAAACATGTTTACTAAGCACCTGTACTGTGCCAGGCTCCATATGGATCCCAGGAGCGAGGCATCTCCACTTTACAGATAAGGAAACTGAAACTCAGAGAGGTTCACACTTGTCCACTGTCATGTAACTAGGTAGTGGCATGGTTGAGCTGTGAACCCAAACTGTCTGGCTTGAGCCTGGATATTTCATCACTACACCAAACTGCCTCTCTAGAAAGGCACATCAGGCTCCCCAGTTCCAGCAGGGGGGCCCCTCAGGGCTTTCCCTGCCAGCCTAGCCCTCTCCTGCAGGGCTGAGGCCACCCTAACCCCCAAGTCCTGGTTTTGGTGAGGTTTCCACAAACCGTATGAAGGGAAATCCCGTGCTTGGACTGAGCGATCAAAGGGAAGGGCCCGCTACCTCTTCCCTCAGGTTTCCGGGGTAGTTCTTCTCCAGGCTTTCAGATCCCAGGAGAGGGAGGAGGCCATCATGTAAGGTTCCTGCAGCTTGATTCTGGGAGACAGAGGCTGTTTCTCTGCAGAGCCTAGAGCCACCTGTGTCTGGGATGCAGCAGCTGCTGTCGTCTGAGAGATGGGTAGAGATGGGCCGTTGGCAGCACCAGGCCCAGTAGGTAACTCAGCACCAGCCGGCTCCGGCCTTCTGCCCCTGCAGGACAGACCGCAGAAACCCATGGGTCTGAGAAGTCATCACTTGGTCCTTGGAGCAGCTCTGAGGGAGATGTGTGGCCTGGCTCTGTGGAGTCCCAGTAACTGTTGTGGCTCTGCCTTGAGCCCTTAGCTCCTGGTCACCTAGCCAGATGGGCTCTGCCTAAAAGATCCAGATGATGTTTCCTCTCTCCATCCTCATTTTCACTGCCCTAGTTCAGGCCCTCACCATCACTTACCCAGCACAACAATATTAACAATAGTCACTAAGTGCTTTCTGCGTGACGGAAACTATGCACTTGAAATGTACTTTTTTTCTTATTCTTTTTTTAAATTGTGGTAAAATATACATGACAAAGTTTACCATTTTAACCTTTTTTCTTTTTCTTTTTTTTTGGTGAGGAAGATTGTCCCTGAACTAACATCTGTGCCAATCTTCCTCTCTTTTGTATGTGGGATGCCACCATAGCATGGCTTGATGAGCAGTGTATAGGTTCATGCCTGGGATTGGAACCCATGAACCCGAGGCTGCTGAAGTAGAGTGCGCAAACTTAACCACTACACCACTGGACTGGCCCCTCATTTTAATCCTTTGTCAGTGTACAGTTCAGTGGTATTAAGTACATTCACACTGTTGTGCAACCATCACCACCATTCATCTCTAGAACTCTTTTCATCTCGCAAAACTGAAACTCTGTCTGCATTAAACAATTAACTTCCCCTCCCTCCCCGCCCTCAGGCCCTGATAAGCACTATTCTACTTTGTCTCTACGAGCTTGATTACTCTCAGTACCTCATATGAGTGGAATCATATGGCTTTAGTCCTTTTGTGACTGGCTTATCACACTTAGCCTTAAGTCCTCCTAACAGCTCCATGCAGTAGATATAGTATGTCCATTTTACAGAAAGGAAATGAGGAACAGAGAGACTAAGTAACTGGATCACTCAGCTGGCAGGGAGCAGGGCCAGGATTTAAGCCCAGGCCGTGTCGCTCCTGAGACCTCGTGCTTTCCCGCTCTGCTGCGAGCCCCACGACTTCCGCCGACAGCCCTCCTGCCACAGGTCTCCCAAGTTCCATTCTCCACAAAGGCAGTGACCTTTCTGAAGGGCCGACTGAACAGTGTTACTCCTCTACTTCAAACACTTCCCTGGCTTTCAGGCCTGGCCCTGACTCAGCTCCTATATCTTCTTTTCCCGCCTTTCCCCTCCACCTAACCACCACCCCGAAACTGAAGTCCCCACCACCTGACTCTGTGCCTTTTAACCAGCTGTTCTCTATACCTGCAACGCCCACTCTCCAAATGAGGCAACCCCTACTCAGCTTCGAAGGCCTAGCCTGCATGTTACCTCCTCCCTCCCCGATTTCTCCAGGCAGCTTGTCCGGCTTTCCTCTAAGCTTTGGGAGAAACTGAACCCAGCTGTGTAACAGCATTGCCCATCTGTGATCTGATTTGTCAGTTTATACCTGTCTCCCACGCTATACCAGTGGTTGCCAACATATTTGAGTATGAGGACTCTGTTTTATCAGAGAATTTTAGGATCTTCTGTACACACTGATCAAAGCACCATTTGATGACGAAAGGTCACATGAATTCAGTAAAGCTTTTAAATGTAACTATTTAAGTCAACATGATACCATCTATACATATTTGAAACAATGCTGCATGTAGGTGACATAGGCATTTGGGGACAATGCTTTGGATTCCCAGGAGCCAGAATCTACAGTTTGGGAACTACTGATTTGGCCCAGAAAGTGAACTTTTTGATGAAACGGAGGTAACATTCACTGACCCTATTATATTCCAGGGAAGTGTCAGTCACATTTCATTTTCATCTCCTGTAAATCTTAAAAAAATCCGTATTTTCCAGATAAGAAAACAGAGCTTAGGAAGGTAAAGGACCTCGTCTGTGGTTACGTGGCGACAGCAGGTGGAGCGGGATTTGGTTCTCAGTCTTCTTCTACTCTGCCACTCTGCCTCCAGGGCAAGGAGCATAGGTGTCTATCTCTGAGATTCTGGTGCCTTGCCCACAGCAGTGCTCAGGCAATGTGGGGAGAACGAATGACACAGACCGAGAGACCCCTTCCCTACACTTCTCAGGCCCCCCCATTTGTCCCAGAGAGGCTCTGGCCAGAGACCTCCCCAGCTGCAGGCAAGCACAGAGGCCCCTCACACAGCCAAGAGCCAGAGAAGGTGCTGGGCAAAACTCTACGATGGCCAAGCACGGCTCACTTCTCCTTAAAGTGCTATTTCCCCTACTTAGTAGGCATCCCTGCCCGACCCTGGGCTCTAAGCCCGAGTCTTCCCTACCAGCCCTCCACCCTGACCCCTCCTGTCCACCTCCACAGCAGCCTGCTCTCAGCTAACAGTCCCCACTAGGACTTAAGGCCTGGTAAAGCTAGGTGTGGTCTTCCCATGGCCATTTGTGTTTTAAATCAAAGGAGAGATTCTTCCAAACTTCTAGTTGGTTAAGAGGCCATGGGAGGAAAAGAATGGGCTTCAACGTCAGACAATACCAGGTTTCCATCTCTGATTCTATTTCCTTTTTGAATGACCTTGGGTAAATCACTTAATTTCTCTGAGCCTTAGTGTCCTCATCTGGAAAATGAGAATAAAACCTCCCTCATGGGGTGACTATACAAAGGCCTTACCATCTTGCACTGTGTGGTGGGTTGAACAGTGGAGCTCCAAAAGATATGGCCACATCTCAACTCCCAGAACCTGTGAATGTGACCTTATTTGGAAAAAGAGTCTTTACGCACAAATGTGATTAAGTTAAGGATTTTGAGACGAGATAATTGTCCTGGATTATCTGCATGGGCCCTAGGTGCCATCATAAGTATCCTTTTAAGAGAAGGCAGAGGGACATTTGACACACAGAGAGAAAAGGAAGAGGCAATGAGACCATGGAGGCAGAGATTGGAGTGATGTGGCCACAAGTCACAGAATGTCAAAAGCCACCAGAAGCTGGAAGAAGCAAACACCACGTTCTCCCCTAGAGCCTTTGCAGATACAACAGTTAAGAATTGTGACATGAGATCAGTCTGGATTATCCAGGTGGGCCCTAAGAGACAGACAAGGAGACAGACACACAGAGAAGAAGGCCATGTGAAGATGGAGGTGGAGATGGGAGTTTTGTAGCCACAAGCCAAGGCACAACTGAAGGCACCAGAAGACAGAAGAGGCAAGGAAGGGTCCTCCGCTGGGGCCTCCGGCAGGAGAAGAGCCCTGCTGACACCTTGTTCTCAGCCTTCCAGCCTCTGAAACTGTGAGAGAATACACTTCTGTTGTTGTAACCCACTCCGACTGCTGTGCTTTATCACTTCAGCTCCAGGAAACGAACACACACTGCCCATCTCCCTAACTTAGCTCACGTCACCCTTATCTCCTGCCTTACGTCAGGGCCATACAAACCACATGTACAAGAATGCGAGCTTCAGGGGAGTGGAACTTTGCCTGATTTGTTCACTATTAAAACCCTAATGATTAGCATGGTGTTGGGTACATGGTAGATGCTCAATACATGTTTTTGAATAAAGGAAGGAAGAGTAGCTCTCAGAGGGTGGGAGCTGTATGTGATTTACTTCCATATCCTCAGCACCCAAAGTGCAGGGCACACGCTGTGTACGTGGGGAACTACCTCCTCCCTCCATATACAGTAGCCCCCCTCATTTGTGGTTTTGCTTTCTGTGGTTTTAGTTACCCATGGTCAACTGCAGACATTGTCTGCTCCTGGCAACTAACCACTGACATAGTCAACGGCTCGACGATTCTCCTTCTGACGTGTTGTCAGAAGGTCAATGGTGGCCTAACACGACGTCACAATGCCTACATCACATCCGTCACTTCATCTCACCACGTAGGCACTGTATCATCTCACATCATCACAAGAAGGGTGAGAACAGTACAATATTTTGAGAGACAGAGGGAGCACATATTCACATCACTTTCTCATTATAGTATATTGTTATAATTGTTCTATTTTATTAGTTATTGTTGTGAATCTGTTACTGTGCCTAATTTGTAAATAAAACTTTATCCTAGGTACATACGTTTAGGAAAAAACATGGTATATACAGGGTTCAGTACTAATCCCCATGGATAAGGGGAGACTACTGGTATTCCAGTACTGAAGGGGCAACTCTCTGAAAAATGGGCAAATCTTATCCTCTGGGAGCCCAGAGATAAGCTTACAGGCTCCAAAGAGTCCACATGCCCTTTCTAGACCTGACTCCAATCTCCCTCTAAACAGAAGCCTTGGAGAGAACCCATGACTGCAGAATCCTGAGGATGACAGTGTTTAATCAGAGACTCAAGTCACCAGCAGCTGGTTCAGGCTGGGCCTCTGGGACCTGAGCAGGCAACATTTCATCATTAGGAGGAAAGGAGATGACAAACTCTTTCCTGAAAGAACCCAGCAGGCAGGCAGAATTACTGGATGTGGATAAATAAAACCATTATTTCCAAATACATATCCCAGGCAGCACTAAATGCATTCTCCATATCACAGGCAATACTAAATTTAGAACTGGCAGTTTGAGTCATATGCTGATTCCTGAAGAGAAAAACTAAATTCAAGGGGAAAAAAATCCAGTGAAATATGAAAATAAAAATGCAATCTATGTCCCTCAGAGCAAGCTGTCAAGAGAGGTGAGGGAGAAGTTTCCTGCCCAGAATTCCAGCTGTAAAGGAACTCCAGCGGGGCGGGGGCCGGGCCGTGCTTGGGCCACAGCAGCCGAGTCTGGGGAAACCTCTGGAATGCCACAGCGTGGGGAACCGCAGAGGCAGGAGGGGAATCTGCACGCTAGGCAATCATGTGGGAACACTGTTTCCAAAGCGCTGTCACACGCTGTCTCACTGAAGCCTTTTCTCAATCCTGCAGTGCAGGTCCTGTCACCCCCACGTACAGCTGAGGAACGGAGCCCAGAGGGGTGAAGTGACTTGCTCAAGTCAGATAATCAGTGAGCAGGACAGCATGGATTTATTTTAACAAACTTTTAAC